GTGATTTCCCATTTGTACTTTTATTCTAGCTAGTTAAATTTTAAGTCGCCGTCTTGGTTTTAATTTTTTTTTAATTTAAAATAATTTAGTAACCAGCTTTTTACAAAGCAGTTGAAACCTTCCTTGACCCAACACAATGTATCTGAGCAACACAGTATTTTAAACTACAGAGTGACATAAGTTTGACCTTAGGTATAAGTACAAAACATTTGCCAAATTTCTTACATTGTTAGTTTTAATCTCTAAATTATTCTTCCTATATTAGAGCATAGTGTGTGAAAGGATTGTATTCACATCTTGTTATACAGCCTTTGATAAGTTAACCAAATAAACACACTGGGTGGGGATCAGTTGGCATTCATTTACTTTCAACTAATTAATAGTGAAAAATGAATTCTAAGGTCCAAGAAAATTAATTTCATGTTCATGCTTCTTTTAAAATAATCTGTTACTCTGTGGAAACCTTTTTAATCAAGGTAGTTTTTCACTAGCGTGACATAAAACTTTAAACTATGCATAGAATAAATCTCTACTCAACATATTCATTTTCCTTTTATTTCTAATCATGACAAATTTTGGAATGTATACTGAAGTTAAAAAGGTGAAGTTTTCTTGTACAGAGTTCCCATCTGGCCTGTTTTGGATACTAATAACGGTCTAGGATTGGTTGGTATAGGCAAAGAAGCATTAACTTAGAGAGCTATTTACCCATCCCTGTTCCCTGTACGTCCTCCTAAACCATAGCAGAATGCCATGGGTGTAACTGAAATTTGGAGGCAAAATAAATAAATAAGAAAGAAAGAAAAGTCATAAAGTTAAATAGAGTAATCATGTTTTCCCTTGTGTGTGTTTTATTTTGTTCTGTTTTTCTTTTTTGTTTTTGTTTTTTTGGTTTTTTTTTTTTAGAATCAGATGTATGGTGTCAATTTCTATTAGGATAAAAGCATGAAAACATGAAATGATTATGTGAGCATGCCAATTTTGAACCTGGAAATAGTTTCTAATGCAGGGGTGGGGAATGTCCAGCTCATGGGCCCGTATAGCACCAGCAAATCATTTGGTCTGGCTCTGCCAAGGCATTAGGGATGAGTTAATGAAATGTTTGACCAAATATAGCAGGCTAATTTTTTTAAGTTGATAATTTTGTATGGCCCATGAATGATGTTATACATATCCAAACGGCCCTTGGCAGAATAAAGGTTCCCCACCCCTGCTTTAATGGAATGCATTTGACAAGCAACCCCTACTTTTATTGACTTAATGGGAGTATTGGTTTATGAATCCACAATTCCTAAGAAAATGATTTAAACAAATGTGGGACATGTGCACACAAATATATGAGTTGGCTCTGGTAGTGAAGAATGGTGTCTCTGAAAAAATAAAATCCTAGGGGTTGTAAATAGGTCAAAACGAATTAGATTTTTATTTATACTTCAGAAATGTAATCAAGTGAATGAAATGATTTCATATACATTTTTACATCCAAGAGCAGTGACACACTGTTCATACATTAATTCTGTAGGAAAATGTACATCCTTCTTTTTTGTTGTTGTTAGGTAAGATCTGCCAAGTGTTCATGGACAAAAAAAAACAACCTTTCATTGCAACCTGAACTAGTGAAATTACAAGGGGTCAGCCATGTTTCTTTCAATAGCTTTATGGCATTAATAAAGCCATTGTCCAAATGCCTGCTAATATTGGCATGTGTAGTATGAAGTCTCACAAATTCTCTAAAATGTGAATGTCCAATCTGAAAACTATGCAATAACCTAATGGATTTTGTGACTGAATCTACCCAGGGACATTAGAGTCCAGGACGGTTTATTTTAAGTGTACTTCTGTAGCTCTGTTTCTAGCTGACTATTCTTCCATTGCCTAATCAGAAAGAAATGCATTCTTATGAAGTTAAGCAGCTGTAGGCACAGAACGCTGATGACATTCTCTCCATATCTGAGTTGCCTAAAGAAAACCTAGTTAGCGGTAATTCTACCAAATACTTGTAGCATTCACATACATTTTTAATTGATTTTCAAACAGCACTACTGCGCCATGAATTTGACCACATAGAATATAAGCCTTAAGCCCACTAGGTTTAAGCAATTGTGTCTTTGTAGACTAAAACTATGTAAAATAAAATCTGATAACTCCCTGGTGTCAGAGGTAGACAGTTTTCTTTCAAATCCTAGGTTTGGTCTTTTATTTTATTCAGCAGTGAAAGCCATGAATACAGAACAAATAACACCTCTTACAATTCTCAACCATGACTTCTAACATCAGAGAATTCAAAGTATGAACATAGTACACAGTAATGAAAAGTATCAAAATTAGTTTACCTCAAAAAAGATAAATAAAACAGGTATATTCCACCAATACATAAACAGATGTTTGTGCTACAGTTAAAATTTGTTGTATACAAAAGATCATAGTCCCCGTAATCAGTTTGATAGAAGCAAGAATACATGAGCCATTTAAATTGTCAGACATTATGCTTTATAAGGTATGCACAGAAGTTCAAGCAATAAATACATACATTAGTTCAAAGCCTTACAATAGCTACGCAAAGCAGATGCAGAAAAGCAGATTTGCTATTACTAACAAGCAATGATATAAGTAAAAATTCATGAAATGCATTAAAGCAACATTTTTCTTAGAAAAAGTCTGGTCATTTATGGGTCCACCAACATTTTTACATAATATGCACAATTATCAAAATACAGACCAAGCATTTCAGAAAACTCCAAAAAACCTAAAATCTATTTTCAAAGCAATTGCAGTTTTGGAGGTTTTTCTGGTATAATGTGCAAGCAGCTATATTTTTTTATTGTATTCATATAAAACCCATGCAAAACTCTACAGGTATATGCATTCTGTGGCTGAGACTTCCTTTCAAAAGTTTTGTAACTGAGGTATGCATACTTTAGCATTGTAGTCTTAGGCCACCCTTCTGATGGTAGAGCTCTCACAGTTACTTTCAGTCCATCAAAACCTTTGAACATGCACATGAAAGACCCATTTTCCCTTCAGATAATCTGACAAGATCCTAGATGACTGAAAAGCATCCTTCACAATACCACTCCTTCTCTGGAAACCGCATGGTAAACTTCCCGTTCGTTGATCATGACCCAAAGACAACATAATGAAAAGTAGCAGTTACTGTGACGTTCTCACATTTCATGCAATCTGCCATAATTGTTCTAATTTTTTTCTTTTTTGTCTTTTTTTTTCTTTTTCTTTTTTTTTCTTTTTGCAGAGGTAGAAGCTTTCAGAAAGCCATTTGGGTAAGTGGGAAAACCCTTTTGAAAGCCGTTATGTTCTTTTATTTGGTGTGATAGATGACTGGGTGTCTAACTCTATTTGCTGACTTCAGCAAAGAATACATGATGAGCTTAGTTTGCAAGAACCAGCTCCATAACATGGAACTGGAACATATGTTAAGCTCTAGCAGCCACCTTCTGTCAAAACTGTTTGTAAAGCAATAACCATAATCAGGTTATGAGGTCCCTTGGTTGGGGGAGAAAAGTATTATCAAGACTTGGCACAGCACATGAAAAGCAACATGTAAAGTTTCTAGGTTTTAAGCAAATATCTGACTATGTTATTTTCAATACACCATAATGCATCATCATCGTTTGGGGGTTTGGAGATGTCAAGAAAACCAGCATTCCAACAATTTGGCCTGTGCAAGTCTTTGAAAGGGAGAGTATTGTTAGTGTTAATATCCCGTATAAGCAGAGGCAGAATCATATGTAACTTTGGTTTGACTGAAAATAAATACCATGGACTACAATTGCTATAATCTTTGCTTTCAGTGTAAAAACTCAGCTAGATCCCTTTAAAATCAATATGAAATTAATTTTTGGCTTTACTAGACCTTTACTGTTTGGTTCCTATTTTTTGTTTTTTATTTCGTTATAACTTAAGTCTATAAAAATAGTACACAACAAAGGTTCAGACCATACAAGACATCTAACAACATGTATTCACCACCAAAAATAAGTGACTGGATTGGGGAAAACAAAAGCACAGTGTACTCTATATATATAACAATATGCAATCTGCATTTGCATCAAGTACATCATCCTTTTGGTCAGTGATCCACATTTGTTGCTTTCTAGCATCTCATAACTTCCACTGTGGATTTTGTCCTCACCTCTGTCTTTAGTGAAAGCAAATCTTCATTGCATTTAGATGGACTTTTGGTCTCAGAAGATTACTCTGTGACTGAATTAGCTTTTTAGTTGTGGTTTTTGTCATATTTAATTCTTTGTTTAGGGCTAAATGAAAAGATCCCAGAGGTCATCAGAAAACAGCAGGTAGTTCATGGAAAAGGTTCCTTTGTATTAATTGAAGTTACAGAAGGCTGACCAAAGCGTGTGGCTGCTTCTGTCCTTGAGCTCTTGGCCATGGTTAGAGTTGGCTTTGGTTTGCAGCTGTAGCCTTTGACTGTGTTTGCAGGTAGACAAAGCTTTATCACAAGGAGGTAAAGAGTACAGTTGTAAGATCTATGCAGATATGCAAATGTTTCTATGGTGCTTGCACAGATAATGTTAGCTTAGGATTGCACTTTACATCTTAACACTAACAGCACAGACTGGAAGCCTAAGGTTTTAGATGGTTGCAACAGTCTAATTACTGCGTTTCTGTAATTACTAACTTATGTCATTTACAGTTGGTGGCACCAACATAAAAACTAATGTTCTGTTGTTCAAAATTCAGCTAGATACAAGCAGTGACACTAATTTCTGATACTACTCCTGTGCAAATTAAAAACAATAGCAACAAGTTGAACTTGACCAGCAATTGTTTCTAACATTACAACTACCGAATGCTGGAAGATTCACATTAATGAAACTAACACTATTTTTGGCAGTATATGAGGCGTGTTTGCTTTTTACAAGACATGTATCCTCATATTCAGTCATTTCATGAACCCTTAAGAGCCACATTTTTAAATGGGCAAAGCCATTATAGAAAGAACAGTTCCTTTTTTTTTTCTAAGAAAAATCAGTTTTTGTCTTTTTCTTTTTCTAAAAAAACAGAGAGAGAAAGAGAGAAAGGAAAGAAAACAAGCGATTTGCCTGTTGGTACTGAATCCCAAAGGGCTGGCTTAGTGAGTTCCTTTAGGGCAGTCTGCTTGATCCATGCTTAATAAATAGTCACAGTAAAAACCTGTCAAATATTCATGGTTGTAGAGTGGTTATGAAGGTCAGTGATATGTCCCTTCACACTGAGGTCTCACAAGTCAGTTCTCATTCCAGATCTTCAGATAGAGGCTCTTCTTCAATCTCTCTGTCATCTTCTAACTCCGGACTGTGATTCGCTGTTGTCACTAAGGACACTGGGCAGTCTTCATCCTCGGCCATCACTGGCTCTTCCTTGACATGGATTGAATGT